GGTAGTGTCAGCGTTAGACTAACACTAGGCGGTGGTACCGCCCATGCCCGGGGAACCCGGGATGGGAAAGTTTTAGGCTCCAAGTTTGAATCAACTTGAAGCCTATAAATACCCCTCTCATCCCTGGTTAAAGCATAGAGAGTCTAAAAGCAAAGAAACGTTGCTACAATCTCTTTAGAAATTCCCTCCTCCAAATCTAAGTGTTAGAATTCTATTTAAGAGACGAGAGTGAGTACTTGTAAGGATTATCTCCTAAACTCGGTAAAAGGAGAAGAGGGGTGTAAAAGGTGATTGGTCTTTGTCTATTGAAGGAAGACCATTAGTGGACGCCGGTGACCTCGTCGGAGGAGGAAGCCGAAAGTAGATATAGGTCACATTGACCGAACCACTCTAAAACTCTAATTTGCATTTATTTCTTGTCATTTACATACTACAAACCTCTTTAATAGCTTACTGCCTTCAATATGTTTACGTACGCTTTCAAATTAAGTTTCCGAAAATAGTTTTCAACGTAAACGGTTTTATCGTACGATACTAGTTTTTAAGTTGACGTGATTTTACCGCTACACTAATTCAACCCCTTTCTTAGTGTTGACTCTTGATCCTAACACTATGTGGTTGACACCTCGGAACTAAGTGGTAAATACCCCAACGTTGGGTGGCCAACACTTTAGTGCTAGGCGACCGATACCTTGACACCAGGTGGTTGATATTTGGGCATCCAATGGATAGCACCATGACATCAGCCAACCAATTTTGTCGCACCACCCAAACGATAGAAACATGTCATATCTTGGACCCAGCATTAAGTAACAACAGTTACACCCGAGATCGACACATCGTATTCTCACGAGTAGTGTGTCATCTAGAAGTAACAACATCGGGAACCCACTATAAAAAATGTTCAATAGGTATATTTAAGTTATTAAATTAGTCGGATAGGTTGAACTTAGAAATAGTTCAACCTATTCGACTAGTTTAATAACTTAAATATCATAGGGGTATTATTGAAATATTTTTAATATAATTTTTATAAGGTTTGGATCAGACCAATAAAATTTAGTTTAAGATCGACTGAAAAAAAAGGTTAAATCTAAATCAATATCCCTATCGAACAACTAAAATCTAACTTTATAATAAGTGTTTCCGCTTCACCTATTCATCCCATGATTTTGGCGAGCAAGCCGATCTGTATTGATCCTCAAATGTGTTGGACCCAATAGAATTTGATGTCAGTTGCAAGGCATCATTACTTTGATTATTTTACATAGGCACCACTTGTTGTGTTATATATTTAGTCCCAGTGGAACACAAGCAATCAGTTCTGTGAGAAGAGGTGATTGATGACAAATAGTATATATCCTCAGCCATGCACATGACAACTCAGTCGGAAAAAAGTTGGAAAGTTCCCATGAAACTTGGGACGCCATTTAGGGTGGCTGCTGCATCACCATGAATCATGTTCTCCGTGAACCGAGGAACTGATCATGCGTGGCAGCAAAAAGGTCGCAAGCCACAACTCCATCCCCCTTCGAATTAATCAAGTGGCATTAACATCACAACCATACAAGACTTTCACAAAAAAAAAAAAAAATTTAAATCTCCCTATGCTTGTGGAGATTGTATGAGTTTGTTTTTTTTAGAGAGAGAAAACAAATTAGAAGGGAAGAACCGAAAAGCTTCGGTGTGATATCACCACCACGATGGTATCTTTGAACAGTAACCAGGTAAGGGTTACAGCTTAATATAGACTAAATAATTTAGGATTAAGATTCAATTCAGCTCTTGTGATTTTTATCATAGATTTCTTAAGTTCTTATAGTTTACTCTTGTCTAAAATAATTTTTATATTTTTAAAAATATAACACATAAGCCTCTCTCATTAAGTCTGAGTTAACAGACATTAGAGTCTACTGATATGACATGCTGATTCATAATAAATCATTAATATAATAACGTATAATTTAGGGTTAAAGTCTATTTTAGCTCATGTGATTTTGGTCATGGATCTCTTAAGCCTTTATGGTTTACTCATGTCTAAAATAATCTCTGCATTTTAAAAAATGTAGCATATAAATATGTCTCTCTTGTGAAATCTAAGTTAACATATATTATAATCTGCTTACGTGGCATGATGTCTCATAATAAATCATTAATATAATGATATGTGTAATTTAAGTTTAAAAAAAAAAACTGAGACCTCTAGCAATGGCGGGAGGAGGCATCATCGTGGAAGTGACCACCAATAGTAGCACTGAGCTACTACCTAGCAAAGCATCATACACAGCTTCTCCCACGCTGACGACGAACTCAGGAGCTTTTGGATGTCACTCACCACCTCCAAGGTGCATGCTACCATGGCACTGTTCGCCACCGCAAATAGCACCCACACCGATCCCAATAAGTACCACCATACCTTGTAAGCCATCTCCCCTACAAAGCACGACATCATGAAGACGGAGAGCTAGCGGAAGGAGCGGTTGAGCTAGCCCATGTAACCCTTCCGCACCCGCTTGTTCTTCTCAACCAGCTTATCGAGGAAGAGGAAGTGACGGAGGCCATAACGACGGATAATGGCAGAGAGGTAGAGGTAGGAGAGGCTGGAGGCAAAGGTGAGGAAGAGCTGGACTACCACGTCGTATGCGCGACGAGTGGGGATGCATAAAAGGACGAAGTGGGAGGCGATAGGGACAAAGACACCATAGAGGAGGAAGAGGGACCAGGAGACCACTGCGTTCCTAGCATCGGACTAGTCAATGCACATCCACTTGAGATAGGACCGGAAGCTTCTAAGCTCATTGTCAACGCGAGAGAGGCTGCATTCGTACGATGCCCTACTAGGTGGCAATAGCTTAGTGCTGCTATTGATGGTCGCTTCCACGATGACGCCTCCTCCGACCATTGATGGAGGTCTTAGTTTTTTTTTAACTTAAACTATATATGTCATTATTGTTATGACCAAAATCGGCACTAAGGGGGGTGAATTAGTGCTATCGGAAAACTTCGATGATTTAGAAAATCTTGTTCGATGAAACTCATATCGGAAAGATGTTTAACTTGAAAATGTTCATAAGCGTAGTAAGTAAATCAGTTTGTAATGAAATGAAAAGCAAAACAGAAATTACAAACCGATTTATAGTGGTTCGGACGTCGTGACCTACGTCCACTCCTAATTCCTCCTCTATCGAGGCCACCGGCCTTCACTATCGATCTTCTTTTAACAGGAAAAAAATCAACTACCCTCTTACAACCCTTTTCTCATTTTCACGGGTTTAGGAGATAACCTTTACAAGTCACTCACCCCTCTCTTAAATTGAAATCAACACTTAGAGCTAGAGGAGGGGAATTCTCACAAGATTACAGTAGCGTTTTCCCTAATTTTTATTCTTAGTTCATGTGTTAACCGAGCAAGGATGAGTGGGATATTTATAGGCCCCAAATGGATTCAAATTTCGAGCCAAAATGATCTCATCCTGGGTCTTCGGGGTATTGGCGGTACCACCGCTAATACTGGACGATACCACCACCTGACACAGTTTGGGAGATTGTATATGGGTGATACCACCGCCCAGTCTAGCTGTGCCACCGCTTGGCCCTTTTATGTGTGATCAAATGGATCTTCCACTTAGCCCAAAACAGCCCCAACTCAAGCCCAATTGGCCCCTAATTGAGTTGGTATTGTTTCACTCCAAAACTGACTCAATTAGACCTAAACTAACTCGATCTACACATATGATTATAAGTATAAATCCTATGTTGTCCGGCATGTCATTGGTTCATCCGGCACTTTGTCCTCTCTTTCGGTGTATTGCTCAATCGACATATTGACTCTTGCAACTTCCGATCTCTTTGGCGCAATGTCCGATCCTTCGGCATGATGCCCGAACTCATGGCACGAAGTCCTTCTAGTACGTCGACTATTCCCTCGGCCCGACGTCCAATCTTCTAATATGTTCCACTCCGGCCTAATGTTTGATTCTTTCTACTTTAATCAAATTGTCTTTCCTTGATCGAGGTTAGTCCTACGTCACTCAAACACACATTAAATCTTATCTTCATCAATTGATTTCATCATCAAAATCCGTTCAACGATTATATTAATGGTTTCTTGTGAGTTAACATACCACGTAAGCAAACTCTAACGTCTATTAACTCAAACTTGATGTGAAGGACATATATACTATATTATTAAAAATATATTGATTATTTTATACACGAGTAAACCACAAGGGCTTAAGAGGTCCATGATCAAGACCACAAGAGCTAAAATGGATCTTAATCCTAAATTATATATGTCATTATATTAATGATTTATTGTGAGTCAACATACCACATAAGCATATTTTAACATCTATTAACTTAGACTTGACAAGATGAGCTTATATATTATATTTTTTAAAATATAAAAATTATTTTAGACAAGTAAATCATAAAAGTTTTAAGAAGTTAATAGCTAAAACTACATGGGCTAAAATGAACCGATTAAAATGAACCTTAATCCAATAATTTATTGACAGTTTAAATTTTTTAGATTAATATGGCAAAGGCAAAATTGATGGATGAAAATTTTGAATCGACAAAAAATGATGAGCGCTTTATTGTATTATTATATTCACTATACTATTATCATATTATTATATCATTATGTACTGTTATTATATTATTTATTGATGTAATTGTTATTATCGAGAGCTTGTTAAATAGATAGAGAGGATCCCGAGAGCAAAAAGGGTCTCTTCCCACACTAACTTATCAATAAACAAAATTGGTCCTGAAGCAATTTGGAAAAATAAAATAAAGCAGAAAACCGAAATCGGCATGTCAAGGTTAACTTTGCTTCCGTTGTTGATTCTACGAGAGAGGATACATTCCACAAGTTCCCAGTTCTGAATTTTAGGAGCGTGAGAAACTTAGAGAATCGTTATACTTTTCAAGCATTGTCTATTCTAGATTCATCATACATATGCATGCATTATGACATTTAAAGGAGAAAACAGCTGTTTCACAACATAAAACAGTACATTAAATTTATGAGAGAACTCATTAAAGCAGTACAAGATTCTAATTGGAAGGAGAACTCATGCACTATGCCACTATGTATGGAGATTGTCAAAAGTCTCTCAATAAATCTGCATTACAGCCATTGAAGTGCTTAAAGGACAACAGCAGATGAACAAATCCTCTTCAGTTCTAGAGCAATAATCAACAAACCTAAAACAACAAGAGAAGAAGGTACTAACCGCTCTTCATTTTAGCATGCCATTTCTCGATACTGGTGAACCAACTCCACTGGTAGCACAGGGCCACAAACCGCATAAAACCAACACCAAGAATCTCAACAAATGCCATGAAGTATGATCTTTGAGGAGACAGTCCAACTGTTGCTACATGTAATAGATATCCCTCGAAGTTGCAAGCAACAACAAATTGTCCAGACTTGATTCCATTTAAGGCTTTCTTAGCAACATCATCAGCCTTCATACCACCTTGAGACCCTGCTATTACCTTTGTTATCTCAGGTCTTCTCTTGTGCTCTGCAATCAGTAAGCCCAACTTATTCGGTTGCCCAGAAAATGTATGTTAAAACTGTAGAGCAGTAGTGTGATGAACAACAAGTTCATGACCCAAAAATAATAATTATTTAAGAATAAAACAAGGAAAAGAGAGAGAGAGAGAGAGAGAGAGAGAGAAGAAGAA